TGTTATTATGAGACCTGCATGTGAAACGAGGGTCATTGTTTTCATACTTTTTTTATTTTATTTTATTTAAGTGATTTTTGGTCAACCGTAGAAAGGTACGGCTGCACCGATTAACATGAAATTTGGTAGGAATGTAGATGAGTCTGACCTGCACTGCACCAGCCAACGGTTTTATGATAGACCCCATATTTGACCAGGGGGTTCCATCTAAAAGAGGGGTGTCTGGACATGCAAAAATGCTTATAACTCAGAAACTATTCAACGTAGGAGGTTTGGATTTTTGTTGTTGTTTAGCTCTGATGAGGGGCTTTTCATTGTGCCCACCAATGAGCACCAACCACCCAAAACAATAAGCAAGTTCTGGTGCACTGCTGCTTTGCGTACGTGTAGGGGTTATATATGCTACCGTTATATGGTATATATTTAAATAAGGGTATTGACAGGGTCTAGGAATTCTGGGGAAAAAATATTAATTTTGTCATTCTGAATTCTGTACGGGATGCTGCATCGAAACAGAAAATGATTGGCTCAATACACTTTACCAATACTTACCGTAGTTAAAAGTATGTTTTAACTTAAACTGGTTAGCCAACTTCTAATGGCATTTTTGATTTTTCTGTTCTAATGTTCAGATTTCAGATTTTATGTGCATGAATGTAATGACAGCTGTTAAGTTTTACACCAATAATTAAATACCTATAAAATGTAGAAAAGATAAATAAAATTTTCAGTAAGAGCTGGTAATTTGTTATTCAAACTGAAATCTGTGCAACAGATTTATTTAACACTTCAGAACATTGTATTAGAATTATAATACAGCTGATTCTATGTATACATCATCTGTAGGAGATGTTTCCATTTTTTGGACTCTTTAAAGACATTTGCTTGTTACTTTGGGGTAAATGCAATCTAATTAATCATCTCTCCAATAAACTTTGTATTGACAATGTCTAACGTTTAATGAAGAGGCTGACAATGGCCATAAAAGAAGCTTTGAAGACTCCTGCACTGCTTCGTGGTGAACTCAAAGAAGCATAAATTACTAGCAGAAGTTTCAACAAGAGTAGAAGAAATTCTTTTAAAACAAACAAACACTCATTAGCGCCGAGTCAAGTTTTCCATGCCAAAAGTAAAAAGAGAAAACTCCAGGAGCCACGGAGTCCAACTGCTGGCGTGCTTCCCAACACTTAACTTGTATCTGTGTGACCACAGTGGGTCCGGAGAGTACCAGCTATTCCTCAGAGAGCATTGTGGATTCCATTTAGCAGCTCGAGTCTAAGTGGCTTCAAAGAGAGCCTGATGGACCAAAACGTAGCATTTGGAAATTAAAGAGACAGAATACAGAAACAAACATTACAGGGGAAGCAAGTGGAAAAGCAAACATCCAGCAGTGTTGCAGCAAAAGCCTGAGGCTGAAGTTTGTCTCCGTGCATACGTTCACGTTTAAGTGTGTGGAGATCATCTTAAATGATTTAAAGAAATAAATGATGCTCTGAAAGATAAATAGGGTGGGAGTCTTCAAATCTGAACAGGCTGATGGGTGAACGGGTAGTTTTTCTTGAGAAAACAGACATATGAGCGAACGTTTTGGTTTTATCTGTGTGCAGAAAATGAAAAATACTATTAAAGTGTAACCCTAATGTTTCCAGCACCGCAGCTGGTGTTCTTTTTATCCACTGTCAGCCATCTGACACGAGCAACAAATGGTAGCCAAAGCAAAAAATAAAATAAATATATGCATGTTCCTATTTTTAATAGTTTAAACATGACTGAAGAGATAAAACTCACATCTCTGACCATATTCATGCGTCGTCTTACAGTCTGTTTGCACTTTGAAATAGTGTTTGTACTGACACAGGAATTAAGTGTGACAGTAAAATAAAACATTCATCTGCGTAAATGTGGCATAGCATAAACGCAAACAGCAGGAGGGCTCTGGAGAGAACAGTGGGGTTCGCACACACACACACTAACACATGTCTCACACACACACAATCTTATCTGAAGTGGTAACTGGAAAATGTCTTGATAAATTGAACTTTACAGCACATTTAGACACTAAGGGAAGTTGGCCTTGGGAAAAAATAGGAAAGGGAAATGGAGGAAAAATTAATCAGATTTAAAGTTTTTGTACAGCTCTGATCCTCAATTTTTCCCCAAAAAGTAYGATTTACAATTATACACACATATACATATTGTATTTTTTTTGGTTGAATCAAATTGTAAATGAGCTTATAATAAAATGTTTGAAGTAATAAACAGCACCAGATTACCAAACGTTCTCACTTCATCACTTGATATACAACTGATATCCACAAGATTATTTTGTAGGAATAAAATTACTGAATGCTCTTTAGGAATTAGTACAACCAATCTACTCAWTACAAATTGTGTGTGTGTGYGTGYGYGYGYRYGYGYGYGYGTGTGTGTGTGTGTGTGTGYGTGYGTGYGTGCGTGCATGCGTGCGTGCGCATGTGCGTGTGTGAGAGTGAGTGAGTGAGTAATTAAATGAGTGAGTAAGTAATTCAGTGAGTGAGTGAGTGAGTGAGTGAGTGAGTGAGTGAGTGAGTGAGTGAGTGAGTGAGT